ATTACAACCATGTACTGCAACAAAATACGCGCAAACAGAGCCCGTGTGATTCCTACTGGTACCTGGTAGCTTTCTCTCCCAAACCCATAGCTTTCTCACCCAAAACCATCCCCACCTTCTTCCGGTATTTAAAGGAAGTTCATGCGCGATACATTCACCTCATTCACTTCACTTGCATCTACACAAAATATGGCTATCAAACAATGAAACACGAGATTGAAGAGATACATGAAGACGGGATTGCAATATGCACATGTGCTTGAAAGAAGGAACAATCTCGCAATACAACCGGATACTGCACCAAACAAGCCCCTCCAGTTGATACAGGGACGGTACAGTCAATCGATGCTCCGTGGCGCCGGGCAGATGGGCCGTCTTTGGGCGTAGCACCCTCTGGGCAGTGCAGGAAGAGCTCGTGCTCCTCCGAAGCACAGTGTTCTCAGAGGAAAATTCAGGTGCTTGGTCCTATTTTGTTGCAGACCTGAGTTTCATTTTGGACGAAAGAAAAGATGAACTTGTCACTACTGAAACAAACCCACCTGAAACGTCTCGCCCTGCAAGAGGCTGGCCTCTCTTACATGCACAAGCCACAAGCCATCAGAAGACCCGAGCCCAGACATACTCAGACCCTCCTCGAAGAAAGAGCTTGCACCGCGTGCTGCGAGCTGTCGCCGTGCCAGCAGCAGTGCGATGGACGAGGACTCCTCGTAAGAGTACACGGGCGAGTTCGTGTGCAACAACGCAACACCACGCCAGGCCACGCTATGTCACACCACGCCTTCATCACACTGCCCAGCTGGCCAGTCACCGCCAACGCTGGTGGCGCTTTTGGAGCCCCCTCGGTGCTCCCACGGCGGGGCAAAGCTGTGGCTTCCTGGGCTGCGCATCTTCAGGACACTTAGAGACACGTGTCTATACTCTATGGCCTCTTGCCCATAGCCGCCATGCAGCAGAGGCACACAGAGCCTTGTAAATGCTGCTTTTTTTGGTCTGGCCGCACATTGTGCATGGAAGCTTGGTGTTAGAAGTCGGCCTTGAGCTTCTTTGTTTTTGTGTGGTTTGATGCTTCCGAAGCCGCGGAGCCCTTGCCCACCTAGGCACTCATACTTCAAACAACGACAGCTGGGGATCAAAGAACACGTTCTTGGGCCACAGTCGCATCGCTTCCGTGCGAAAGGCAACTGACATTGTATCCTCTCGCGCTAACCACCCGTCACTGTTTGCCAATGCTGAGACTGCGAATGCTCCAGAGTGCTCCGGAGGTTTTACATGAAGAAGCAGGCACTTAGAAGTGCACCGTGCGAAGTTCAACTCGCAAGTTGTTTCGGCCCCTTTCAGTCTAGCACATTATTCACCCTCCCCAACCCCAAGCAAAGGGTAACCCATAACCAGGCTGGCGGCAATGTAAAGCACGGAACCTCCCAGCGCAGTCCACGCAAGACCTTCCAGGCTTCGAATTCTTGGGCTCAAAGAGGTTCATGCTAGGGCTGTTCGGATATAGGGAATATAGGGGTTTGGGATCCTGCTTCATGCTGACTGTCTGCCGATGAGTTCATACTGAACTTGTGTTGATTGTTTCGCCTGTTCCTTCGAGGGTATATTGATTGCTGCTGCTGCAGCTGCCGTATGCTGCCATGGGGAGTTGCTATACCCGGCCATTTACCAAGAAGATGTTGCTTGCGCAGCTGCATCAACAAAAAGTGTTCAAAGTGCCTAAAGGGCCCAGGCTTAGGGTTGCAAAGCTCCGAAGATGTGCAGCAAAACGATGCACCTGTCACCGTTCCCGGAGGGAGTGCCCCCTCGTAGAGACGATCGGAGGTGAAGACCTGGGCTTGGCGGGACTGAAGCTTACGGCATGGGCCTATACCGCCTTGTACAGGCTGAGAATGCAGATTGAGAAAACTTTTGAGCTTCAAATCTCAACGGCCAAGGTTATCTTCGGGATTGAGGTCAAACAGCTTAGTTGGTCCATCGGTTCTACAAATTGTGTCTAGATTTCTTTGCATGGAGGTGGCCGTTGATCTGTGCATGTATGTCTGTATGCATGAATGTAGTAATCAGTAAATGAATGATTAATCAATATATATATATATGTATATGGGCATATATATATATATACATATGTCGGACTGACAGGGTCTTTAAGAATCTGTTCAGAGCTTGCAAAGGCTCACGCGGACATGAAACATGGCTAATTATGCTCACAAGACATTGATTCCCTCATTCGACTCCATGCGAAGTGGACCACAGTCCCTTCAGCAGCCCAAAAAGTTTCCAACAACCAATAACTACCTCGGATCCCCTCACACACACACGCACTCTCTAACAGTACCACAAAATTCAACTTGCGATTGCCCCTTGTGTGTAAAACCCAGACACCAATGTTCAGGATTCTAGGGCATCCGCTTTTGCTGTGTAACCCTAAACGCGGCTCTCCAATGCCAGTCCCAAGGGCTGGCTTCCCCACATAGTCGCTGAGAGAACCTATCGTGGGCTCAGGCGTTGCATGACACGGGGTTAGAGAGTGGTGAAGGGTCCCAGAATCCGAGAGGATTTTGGGACGGCTCCGGTCTAGGTTAACTTCCAACACTTGCCGAGACACATGCCTCATGCAACAGCCAAGAGAGATTAACAGTGGGACACCAACGCATGGCGGCAACAGATTCTCTAGTTCACACCGCAGACGCTGAGACTTCAAGAACATGTGTGCTCATTAGGAATATTGCCGAGAAGACAAGCACAACAGTTCGAGCGCTCTGAGCATTCCTTTGGTGCAGTGGCAGACGCCGCAGCCAGGCCTTCCTCCACATTGCTCTCCGTCTCCAGTACTATCGGTTCACATCATGCTATACGGCGCCAAACATCTGCTTTACAACACGCCTGGAAACAATCCAAGGCTCAATAAGACGCGTCCGCACCCTGATGGTTGTAACATGCTGTAACCAGGGTGGCATGACATCTGGCGATAATAATAGATTATTAAGTCTATCTCTATGAGAGACCGGCCCCCCTCATTCCACCCATCTGGGACGTCATACTGCCAAGGGGGCTGCAGCGGGGAGTTTTGCACCATCATGCGCCACTATGCCGGGCAGCGTGAGCCCCACACCCGGCCAATTGTCTGAAGTTCGCTTCGCATTTCTAAGGAGCGTTCCAGCACACTCGGACGGGGCAAGCAAGCGAAGCGTCATTTGGAACCACTTGAGTCAAGACAAGTCTGCCGGATGCAACATGATACGTTTACCTTCCGGGAGAGACCATGTAAGACAGTGTAAGGCGTTATGCCTTCTCAAATTGCCGGCCCGCTACCCTTTAGGCCACCCTCCTGCAAGCAAGTGTCACCATGCCAGCTTAGGTCACTCAGTATAGCAACACCTGCCACGGCTTGCATGCCATGCGCGTTCTGCCTCGACCACAACAACAGAACACTAGCGCAACATGCCGTATGACGTCTCCCAATTTCCGGGGCGTTGGATGTTCGCTGAGTCAGATGGGGTCTGGTTTCCTCGTTCTTTCTCTACCAGACTCTCGCCACAATCTCGCAATGCTCAACTGATTGTTAAGGCAAGGTACAGGCGGAGCAAAGGGGAGGAACAGATCCCACCACTCTCTATTGGCCACGTGGCGGCGCCTTCATCGACTCGCAGCTCGATGACTCGCTGGTCGCCGGCAGCGGCATCTGCTTCGTCTGGACCTTGAGAGATCTTTCTGCCGGGAGAAATCGACACTGGATCCCCGGAAACATCACCCAAAGTTGGTGCAAAGCCTCATGAGCTTCAACCATAGCCCCAATTGTTCTGAAGACTCTCAAGTCGCTTCTTACCCCGGAAGCTCAACTCTGACCGAAGCCGGGGGCTCGTATCCTCCATCTTCTCGACGACCTTCGTAGCCAGCTTTCGGCAGACGCGCTCGATGTGCTTCTGCAGGTTCCGCACCCCGGCCTCACGAGGGCCCCTTCTTCGCTCGGGGTCCCGCCTTTCAGGGTTTCAGAAGCTGCCTCCACCCGAAGCCCCTGTCCAACAGATGATCGAACCTTAAGCCTTTCCGAGAAGGAGCATCAGCACTGGGATGCACTGATGCACTCTGCAGTTCCAAGGTGAGGGCCTCGCGGCAGTACCACCGAATCAGCGACTCGATCGCAGACTCCTCGATCTCCGCCTTCGAGCTCTGGGGGCTGTTCCGCGTGAAGCCAAGATGCAGAAGTGGCATCTTCAGGGTCAGTTAGGTTACAGAGGGCTATTGAAGGGATACATTGAAGGGATACGACTTGTAGAAGATATCACGATGCATGGGCCAAATGTGATGGTTAAGAGCATGTCTTCCGTCAGAAATCTCGAGCTCCGACCTGCAAGTGCCCTCAGTGAACCCGGGATCAAGGACAACGTTCAAGGCAGTCGGAGAGAAATAGCTACTTTCATGGGCATGCTGAAGAAGAACTGCAGTTTGGACTTAGCGATTTGACGAATTGTTAATCATCGAACGACCCATATTAGGTGTGTCATGTGTATATGTACTTGTTAAGACCTTCACAAGCGTTCTTGGTTTGGACAGACGTAAACATCCTCCGAGAATCATGTCCTCCTCCTCATCACCATGTTTCAGATGCACGGTAAACTTCAACTAGCAAAACCTTTCTTGCTTTCTTCCAGGAATTCCTCTGCTTAGGCCAAGCCGTCTTCATTTTGCCGCCACACAGGTCTGTCTCGGACCAATGCCCGAAGGAAAACCAAGCGCCCATCTACATAGGTACATAGGTGCCTGACACTTGAACTCATGTGGGTACAACCGTGGACTCTACGTAGCCCAAGGCTTTCATTTACATGAAACGACCGCCCACGTGCACGTAGAACCTGTGGGACATGTCCAGAACCAGGGACCTTGAGACAGGCCCGGCAAGAAGCGGCAGCAGGCGCCACACACTGTATCGGTAAACGCATGATGCCGCTGATCACATGCCGCTGAACCAGTCTAACCAGGGCCTCGTCATATCAGTCAGCTGCTCAGATGCTGAAGTGGTCTGAGTCCTCTGTCGGATGCTGTGAAGGTGATGCCTTGCCCTCGAGGGCTCGCTCTGGCATCGAGGCCCTGCAGGGGCAGGGGGAGAAAAGTCCGACGGCCGCGGCGAGCCAGACCACGAAGAGAACTGCGGGCAGCGGATTGTCCTCCGATGTGAAACGCAGGAAGATCCGAACCGGAGCCCACACCACAGCGATGGCCAAAAAGAGCACAGGAGCCATGAGGAGGGCGGCAACGCACCTGGGCCGCACAGGCACAAGGGAAAGAAGCATTCGTAAAGCCTTCCCTCGCTGTGTGGCGTACATACGCAAGACACCCGTATATGACACTGAAGTAAGAGAGTCTGCACGCTGTTCCAGCACGTTTGGCAGAAACATGCAGACGAGCACCGGTGCACAGGTAGCCGTAAACCGAGGCGACATAGTGGAACAGATAGTCTCACCGACAGGATGCTCGAGAGGCCTACGATTCCTTAGCTGAACCTGAAGCTACAGCGTGACCCGTTCAATCTCATGCGTTTTCTGAAATTGCAGACGTGCGACAATGGCAGTGCACAGTGATCCCACACTACCTACAGTAACATCATCTCACCTTGCTATTTTTACATGTCAGTCTATGCCTTGAACCTAGCCAATTCTGCCACACAGAGTCCCCAGTCCACCAGCTGCCGCAAGCACCAAGTGAGTAGCACAATGCCAGAGAGGTCCGAGTCGGACGTCCTGGCAAAGAACCTGTCACCACGCAAAAGGATGGCAGCTTCCTTGCTAGAAATCATGTGTCATTATGAGCCGTGGCTTCTCGAAAGCCTCGACAAAAACAGAAGAACGTGCTGCAACCCAGCCAGAATGCACAGAAATAGGATCTGCCACATATGGAAGGTTGCTGGAAAGCACCATGTACACTGCATAGTTGACCGGGAGCATAAACCCTCTTGCGCCACGTCCGACACTTCCTGCCAAGTGCTCCCTAACGAGTCGATTGAAGGATTCCAAGTGGTCCTGACAGGATCCGGTTCTTGTCTGGAGTCGGGTGTTACGGGCGTGGCGACCTATGTCAACTTGATGAAAAGGTTGAGGTGCGGACCAGGGAACATGTACAAAATACAACACGAAATTAAACATCCAGCTTCATCAGGGCACTCCCATAATCGATCCTTCCAGAAAACAAGAAACAATGACAGTGATGATCTGTGCTCAATCTTGCCTGGCCATACCACCTCTGCAGGGAGTTGTAAACCAGGACGCGATCGCAGGGAATCCTTAGCTGCAGGGCTTCCGTTTATGTTTGGCTTGGGGGGGGGGGGGGGGCAGGAGGTTTCGGACACATTTTGGAGTGACATTGCGTCCACAAGCTAGCAGAGGTAGGTGACAATCCCTGAACCCACATAAACCTCAAAGGCTCACAAGTGTCCGCAAAGTCTCTCCTCTCGGGTAAGAGGATGCCGGTGTCCATGGGTGCAGCAAAAGCAGTGTGCATCCTGGGTCACACCAGATCTCCTCTTTTCTGTTTGCGGTAAGTTACTATGGGAGCCACCAAGTGCCTTGCAGTCCATCTCAATGCTCCGAAAAAGAGTATCTTACATGCTGAGGCGATCCCTTGCTGCAAAATTGTAGGCAAAATCGACCATTTCGCATCAGCTTCGCAATCAAGCCGAGGCTGCTATTGCAAAGTTCCGTCGGGGTTCGGGAAGGTTTGTCGCGCTGTCACAGGGTTACAGTACTCCTTACCAGCTGCCCAGAACGGTCCTGCAACCCTGGATTCAGCACGATGACATAACGAAAATATCAGAGGCTTGCCCTACGAGCATGTGCTGTCCGATCCTATACCTGGCAACGAACCTGTACCATGATGGATGCGCAGAAGCTCAACACCTAAACCCGAGACCCTCCCCCCCTCCACCTCTCCAAACTCCCCCCACACACACAAGAAATGGACTTGGGACTCCCTTCAAGCCAGCAGCTTGAATGCGAAAGCGCCCGAGCTGCGTCGGAATGCCCTCAAAGTCCCCAATCCTTAGGGGGGAGTGTCCCAGGGATGCTTCTGAGGAGTTTTCGGATTCTTCTGGCCAGGACTGGGCTTGACTTTAAGGTGTCGGGTCTTCCTCTGGACTCTTGGTGTCTCCTTGGTGTCTCTTGGAACCTCTTGTGGATTGGGTTGAAGCATGGCTGCCTGGGGGGGGCGGGTGCGAATGTCAACTTAGGAGTCGGGCGTCTTGACTAGTTTCCACATGTAAGATCGAAGATGCGCTTGGGGTGTCCTGAATCATCCAGCTTTTCTACCAGGAGGCTTGAAACACTCTCAGTGCCCTGAGCATGCACAAAACTGCCTACACTACTAGAAAGGACTGCCACAAAGCTTGGCAAACCATCTCCTTTTTTTTGGCATGTCGAAACCCGCAACCCTGACACTCACAACTCAGAACCCCCACAAAATCTTGAATCCGAGCCAGCGGCATCCCCATCTCCAAATAAAAAAGCATAGGGCCCAAGACAGCCTGAGTGCATCCAAGGGTTGAAGATTCTGGGAGATCTTGCATTTGAGCGGCAACTTCGGGAGCTTGAGGATGTAGGGTTCAGGACATGTCTAACCTCTGAGAAAAAAGGGGCGGAACCAAACATATGTCTCAAAAAAGCCTCGCGCAAACAACGCAATGCCACGGTGTAGGACATCTTCAACTCCGGGCAACCCACAGCACAAACATCATCGCAAGTACGAGGACGCCTGCACCAGCCTGCTCTGACCTGCCGGGTAAACTTCGACAGAAAAAGCCCTAACCTATTATCATGAAAAGTTCATTACACCATTTACTTCCCATGCATAAGACCAATTTATGCTTGCTAAGTGCAAGGAGCACATAAAACTCCTACTAGATCCCGTGTCCAGAGGACCTCAGCCTTCGGAGCACAGCAAAGCCGAATACCAGAAGGTGCCAGCAAGCCGAAAAGAGCAGAAACAGCAGCGCCGTCTTCCTGAGGAAAGCTCGCAGCGTGGCACTTGGGAAGGACCATTCGAACTCTGGCTTTAGATTATTCAGGCCCAGAACCCCAAAGCTTTCGGGAGCATCGCAAGCAGAAAAGTAAGCCCCTGTCACCAAATCCTTGCAACCTTACAGATTCACTATATATAGACCGTACCCTAGGATTCTGCTCTTCTAGCCGCCCAGCTGCAACGGCATGAAGCAGATCTGCTTGCGCCGCTCCGGGTCCTTCATGAAGGTCGCGACTTCCTTAGCTCGTCATATTGACACCCTGTTCCTCCGAAGTTCCTCCAAGGGTGGCATCAATACAAAAAGCCGGAACCACGTCACAAACTAAAGTGCTGAGTGGCGAAGGTGCACCAAAGGCGGCTGAAGTACCTGCGTAACCATAATCATAAATAATGTGATGTTTACTTAGCACCTCCAAAGTCACCACAGGAAGCCCGCTTGCCGGGTCCCGCCCAAAAGAGGTCGGGGGACACACGGCCCTAACCTTGCCAACCTAATTAACGCGCTTCCTACTCTGCAGCAAGAACCCTTCGGTTCGCGCGCCAAACCACAGCGAAATTCTCATTCACACGGGTGGATTGGCTCCAGGCTCCAGGCACGTGGCGCAACGCGAGCCCATCTCCTCTCTGCACCCCGCCTGTTCTCGACATTTCTCGTCTTTTGATGCTAAGACTCCAGAGGGCGGCGCGGGTGGGTTGGGCACTGAAGGACTGCTCCCCGCAAGCTCGAGCTTGCCACGGCTGCAGAGCCGTTCGTTCGCAACTGTGTCATTCCGCGCACATGTACGCTACACCACATTCGCCCCTCACTCGAGGTCAACTCAGCTGTCGGTTCCTACCTCCCTCCGAAAGTTTGCCGACAGTGAGTAGATGGCGATGCGGCCGATCAGCTAAGGCGACCTACTAACCACAGCCGTCACGTGGGTCTTTGGAGAGTCAGAGTGGGAGGAGCCAGAGTCATCTTGCAAGGTCTTTTGCAAGGGGGACTCTTGCCCCCGTCTTGGGCCACGTGTCTTCCTGGGGTTGGAGCTTTTCCTCGGTTCGTGACGACACCGCCGCTTCCCTAGCCATCCCTGACGGCGCGCTGGGTTCCGTTCCGGTTGTTACCCTCGCCTTTTCACGACATCGTTGGTGCTTCAGCTCTTGGCCAGCCTCTGCTTCCTCCATACAAACCTGTGGCACTCTGGTGCATGGCGGCGCGTGCCTGCCAAAGACGTCCTTTTCATTATTGTCGCGGTACTCCCCATGGTGACAAAGCCTGAAAAACACACACTCCGGGCTTGTTTTTTGGCGGGGGGACGTGCTAGGGGAAGGGGACTGGAGAGCTCCAGGCTCAGGACCTTGACGTCTGTAAGCCGTCTAGTTTTGGGTGTCTGAGTCATGCTGAACCTGTGCTTCAGGCTGTGCTGTCCCAAGGTGCTGAGGCGTCAAGAGGACCACGAGTCTCCGCGAGCTCAGCAAGAATGCGGCAATTGCCAAGATGCCTCTCTGCTTGAGCCTCGGTGGGTTTCATGACTTTCAAGTTCGGGTCGGGCACTTGGTGTCAGTGTCGGGGTTGTTCGCAGGACTGAGAATTCGATCTATTAGGGCATGTCACGAACACCTACTGTTGTTAGTAATTCTAGCACATTTCTCCGGATCTCAAAAAGATGTCGTGTCAAGGCAAGGAGCACATCATCGTGCTGCGCCACGCACAGCTTGTCGAAGAACACCAGGCAAGGCCGGCAGACTGAGCGGATCCGCTGCCAGAAGGAAAGTACCAACACGAAGGTCACGTGGCCGAAGATGACAGTCCATAGCTCATCAGGTAGTACACCCATCCCCCGCAGTATCCCGACAGCAATGCTAACAAGCAATGAGCTGCAAAAGGCTGGGCCAGAGTTGAAGACGATCAGGAGCGAAAGAAGCTTTAGCCACCGGCCCGAGCCCCAGTCGTGGCTCAGGAAAGCATCATATACTACCACTGGCTGGCTGAGTCGGTAATTTGCTGCATCTGCACGAGGCATGCCTCCGTTCTCCGCGTCCCAGTGCTTTCCCCAACCACAAAGCGCCTCGCTTAAGGTGACAGCCCGAAGAAGCTCCGGATCTGTGCGAACACTGAGCTCGCAGGAAGAGAAGCTGGAGCCCCGCCGGGGACCAGGGCTGCTAGGTCTGCTAGGTGTTTCCTCGGCGCCGGCGGCCATCGGTTCACAGGATCCAGAACCACTTCTGCAACTTCTTTGATGATGCCTACATAGTGGCTGCTCTTCTCTATGGTCAAGGATCCTGTTTGCAGGTCTCGCCCTGAGCTAAAATAGAAGCCGAGAAGGCAGCTTCACTTCAGTGAAAGGCGTGGTCAGCAGAATCCCCAAGATGTGGAATAGAAGCCCCAAAACTTGAATCTGAGGAGTCCAAACACAAACACCCTCTGCCCAGCATACGCACCAATCGCAGGCTGCGGTAAAGCAATAAGCAAGTACCTCTGAGTTGATAATCCAACCTGGGGTCACCATAACAAAGACAAGTCAGCACCCGGTCTCAGACCTTGAGCTTTACTTCGTCAAGGAATGAACCCATGATTTTGAGACCGCTGCAGAAGGATTAAAGGAAAGGGCTCAAGGCTCTGAATGCTACGCCGCACAATGTAATTAGGCAACTTGTCTGGACCCATCACCCACTTGCCCGCCCTTCAAAAACTGGTAGCCTTGATGACCGGCTTTGCTGGTGCAACTGCCTCGCCGGCTCCTGCTGTCGAGTCCTGATCACATATTGCTATGCGCAGGTCCGTACGAGGTCTTCCAGGCGACTGCTGATGGCCAGTAGTTACGAGAGTTCAGGGAAGGTGTATGCAGGACAGATGTCTGTGGGTCTGCACATGGAGGTCCCAATAGGCTGCAGCAATCAACTGCTACAAAACAGGCCGTTATGCTGTTACACTAGCCTTATGCCTTTAGGAAACTGATGACCCGCTCTCATCCCCACACGTCTGACCCTGAACCCTACACCGCTTCAACCCCAAGCCTTGGTGACGGCTCCGTCGTCCGCGGCAGTGGGTGCCTCTGCCGCTTTCTCCGCCTTCTCCTCCGCCTCCACAGGCTCGGAAGGCTTCGCCTGGCTTGCTGGCAGCTTTGATGAGGCAAGAGAGGAGTCTCGGACTCTCGGGTTGAAGCGGATAAAGGTGATCAGAGCAAAGATATAGCTAAGATTCAGGGTCCATGTCCAGGGGCTGATGTGACATATGTGACTGGCGCTCTCGGGTTGCATGTGCAGCCCAATGGGAATGAACAACCACAGAGGTGAAGGTATAGGGGCGAAAGCTTCATACGGCCAGATTGCGCGATGATGTGCAAGATCGAGAGCATGAGCATTGCGGACGAGTTGAATTATGCATGCGCGCACTCCATACGCAACTGTAAGTCCTCTACGCTACCACGGCGAGAATGCCCTCACTGAGTGAGCGTGAGGGCCTCTTTCTGCCGAAGACCAACCTGGCAAACTCCAGGAAACGGTAAACAGTTCAAGCAGACATCTGGCAGACATGATGCGAACAAGAAAACCCTTGGGAAAATGTGAGTTCGACAGCTCCCAATGTCGACAATTGTACTGCTACAGCACAATGTTCGCCGCACGTAGCAGAAGGACCCGCCTCAACCATGGCATTTGGCACAAGGTAGTCTTGCGCGATCCGCATCTTTTCCTTAGGATGCGAACACCATGGGCTGCAAATCACGAATGAGGTCACAGGACCCGTGTGATGATGATGCTGATGCTGATGCTGGTGGTGGTGGCGGTGGTGGTGCTGCTGATGATGATGAGGAGGAGCGAGACCGTCGCACGATTCAAGGGATCTGACGGCAACAAAAGACCCGGCTATACGAAAGAAGACAACACCCACTTGGGGGTGATTGTGAGTTGGAGCTTAACAGGAGATTTCATTCAGCATTGGCTTGGTTCGGAACTTGCGCACTTCCGTGATGCCTCCCGGGGGTCACTGGCCGAGTTGCTTGAAGGTCGTAGCCTCACAGCTAAGACATGGGGCTTCGGGCGGGGACTCACGCTTGAGAAACAGCTTTCAGGCCGACGAAATCGTTCTCGCCCCGGGACCGAGCACAGCCAAATTCAACTAAAAAGCAGTCTCAGTGACTGTCTCAGTCTGCTGCAAAAGCGACAACGCAGATGAAAGGTGTCGAACCCATCTCAACTTCGGCCTCGCAACACCTATCTGGCATGTCAGCTGCCGACCATTGTAGAAGCCGTCAACAAAACGATCCAACTCCGGCAGCACAACTCCTGAAGACAACCCGACCACGGCCCGCTGTCCCTCCACGCCCCCGGCCGGCACCGACCCACACGTCCCGAACCTCCCTGCACTCCTCAAGCCTGAGAAGCACAGCATGAACTCCACTGCTACCCCCTGAACCCCCTTACAGCCCTGACAATCCCACAAAGCGCCCTAGGGCCTGTGAGCCGGATCACCTCCATGCGATCCAGAAGTGGCCCAGGGATCGTATCCTCTCTGAAGTTTGGGGTTTTGCTTTTTGGCGGGGTTTGGGGTTGTAGGGGTTTAGGATTAGAGATGAGGGTTCGTAAAATGTCAAGCCGAATCCTGGAGGGTGCGATCTCCGTCAAATTGCGTTAGCGCAATTCTCCAGAAACTAATTCAGCTTGCGGGTATTGATGTGGGCGCCCGCCATCGTGATAACTACTTTGTTCGAGCAAATAGCAATCTGAAAGTAATCCCTAACCCAATTCCTGAATCTCGGCCACAGCTCCAGGACAGTCAAAAGCGATCCGATGCAATCGTTTCTGTGGGCGCCCACTCCCGTGAGCCAAGGTGGTTGTAGCACAAACCTTTGCTTCTTAGCCCCGGAAAAAAGAGCTGATACGTTCGTGTTCTTGTCCTCTTCCCAATGGTACTAGTCATTCTCTTCTAGGAAGGAATGCCATTATTCTCATCCTCCCCTGCTTCATGAAAGCAAGAACAAGACTAAGACAAAGAGCAACATAGAATTCGAAGAAAGAATAGAAAGCAGCGGCCAAAAGCTTGCAAAGGACACTAACCTGTACTCCTGACCAGAAAAGACTCTTCGTTCCAGCTCTTCCTCTTGCTGCATATTTCATGTGCAACAAATAATCTCTTCCCTCTAATATTAAACGGCCCCCCCCCCCCCGCCCCCCAATAGAAACTCGAAATACGGTTTTATTATTAGGGGGACGTGTTTATCCAAATCTCACGTTTAGGGTCCAAAGGGTTTAGGGTCTAGGCTTCAGGCAAATTATATACTTAGGCAGGCAAGATCTGTCATTAGATCGTATGAGTAGTGAGGTAGGCTGTGGAGAGCCAGGCTCACAGACAGCTCACAGACAGCTAAGTGCTGCGAAGTGACTGAGAGGGAAGGGAGGGCTGGGGGGAAGGGAGGGAAGGGAGCTTCAGGATGTTGGCTGGCTTTGAGGGTTTTGGGAGCCCTCAACCCAAATTGTGGGGGGGGGGGGGGGGGGCGATTTCGGGATGATTCTTCAATCTTCAATTTTCAGTCATAAGTCTTAAGACTTCTTAAGTCTTCAGAAGTCTTAAGAATTCTTAAGGGTTCTGGGAAAGGAAAAGTAAGAATTGAAGATTCCAGGGCAGGAGTATCCCAGAAATCTTCAATCTACAATCTTCAATTTTCAGGCTTGAGCCTTAAGAACTCTTAAGACATACGAAGTCTTAAGACTTCTTAAGGACTATGGGAAATGAAAAGTAAGAATTGAAGATTCCTGGGCAGGAGTCTCCCAGGAATCTTCAATCTTCAATTTTCAGGCTTCAGTCTTAAGAACGATTAAGACTTCTTAAGAAGCCTTGAAAATTCACAAGGACGTAAAATAAAGCATAAAACTATGGATCTTGGGGGGGGGTACCATATATATATATATATATATGTATATATATTTTGATATACATACAGTATATATGTACACATACTACAGATACATACATGTACCTTTCAGCCTCGCAACCTTTCAACGCAACCTGACGAACACAAAGCCCACTGCCAAAACACACCCATAAGACATTCATATACATGCTCTTTCGTTCCCCTCTACCTCCTAACCATTCACTCCCTCCACTACGCGGTCGCTTCCTCTTCCCCCCATGTCTTCCAGCTGAGCACGTACAAGAGTGCTGGCATTCATCTATCCATCTTTGCAATAAGTGCGTGTGTGGGCTCTAAGGTCCAACTGGGAAAGCCCCACCGCCATGCGCTTCATGGTTTAGGGTTTGGGGCTTAGGGTTTTGGCTTAGGGCTTCGGTTTCAGGCAGAAGCACTGGAGAAACAAAAACACATCATGCGCAGCGAAGCCCATCTCCAGCACGTTGGCCGTACACACGAAGAGGATGTTGCTGCCTGACCGGGACTACCCCTTGAAGCTAAAGCGCATCTTTGTACAAGCCGTGGTTTCAAGACTTTACAGATTGTCCAACATCCTAGGTCTTGTTGGGCATTTGATTTGCCCAAACTCGCGTACCCTGCTGTACTTCCGATAAACCATAATCATTTAAGCCTCATTAGAGGAGCCCACAAGAAGCGTACCCCTATTTTGCGGAAAGCCGGACCTTCTTCAGAAGAGACTCGATTTACAAAAGTATGCTAGAAAGGGGGCCCGAATTCAAATTGCCCCCCCCCCCCCCCCCCCCCCCCTGCAGTTCTTCGGCATGCAACTTGCAAGCCTCCGAAGCTCCCATCTTCCTTGGGCCCGGTCTCTACTCACAGCACTTAGTAGCATTTTCTGAACAGCGAGGTGCAATCAACAGGCACGTCCAGGTAGTGGTCCACGAAGGAGTTGTTCTGCGACGGGTCCTCTAATGGGGCTACACACGCAGTGTCTGCTGCGAAAGGGCGAGGTCCTGCAAACCTCATCTCTAAGAGTGGGAAGTTTTTGAAGTTTTATGAGCCCTTCGTCAAACACCGGGTCCAGGTTGCGCACTGCTAACACCACGTCAACTGGGGGTTCACGAAAACAAGGAGCCCCTAATTTATAGACTAATAGTATGATTCCCTTATCATCATGGCCCCGAACAAGGTACCCCCAGTGTCGTAAACAATCTCGTCTAAAGTTCATGGAGGACCCTTTACGATGGAGTCAGTTTGGAGAAGTTGGGGCATGCGGGAAATTCCCCCCCCCCCCCCCCATGGCCCATGCCTAAACCCAGCGTCCAGTAACTCCAGCAGTGCACTCGAGGGATCGCCCTGGTGGCCGCGGCCGATCTTGTCCACCTCTGGGACCAGAGTTGGGTTCTCTCGTGCACGCACCCGGTTCTTGAGGGGTTGAGCGTGGTTCAGAGGCTTCGTGGCTTTGTGGCGTTGCGGAGTTCAGGAGGTATGGGATATGCAAAGCTCGCGGCTTCGCGGCGGCCTCGTCGATCAGGATCAGGGGGTTGGCTGTCTGCGTCTTCTTCCTTGGGCTAACTGTTCACGCCGGTCTTGATCCCCAGATCTGATCCCCTCTCTCTATGGGTTGTTTTGGCGCCTGTATAACTCCAACTGTCAAAGGGCCATGCATGACCCATACCTATATACGCATCTGCACACAATCCTTGGACTTGAACAACACTTGGGGCTTAGGGTTTGGGGCTACTGAATGTTCCTGAAAGACCTGCAAGAACCCTCTCCCCTCTCCTCACATCCCAGCGTCAGGCATTGGATCACCTTCCCCGGCATGGCCCCCACCTCAGCGAACGGAAATCTTGGCGCTGCGGACAGAGGATGCCATTGCACTGGGTACTGCCGAGGCACTGCTGGGATTAGGGCCCAAAGGGCTCTACAGAAATCAGGCTTTGCTTCGTGTCAGCTCTCGCCCGCGGCTTAGGGGCCATGGAACATGGCCAGTGTCTCCCCCCAACAAAAACATACATGCGCCGGAGTCCTGAACCCTCTCGACAGCCCCCGGATCCCCAAGACTATTGTACATTCCACGCCACGATGTGTAACAACAACAAGAGGTTCATTCCCCTGTGATTTGCGGAACCTTTCAAGGAGACCCTTTGAAACAGAGTCCTCGCGGCATAGGTTCTCCGGTGGCCCTTGATTTCCGCCACCTGCGGGGCGGCGATTGTGCACAGGCCGACACTACGTTCTCACGGTTGTCCAAAGGCTGTCACGATGAAGTCAATGGGGGTGATTCGCAGCATAAACCCGCACTTGATGCCGCAAACAGACAACGCAGCTCAACAAGCACAAGCAGCCTCAAATGGATCAGGCCCAGAGACGTGAAAACCACGCAGTAGTCATCAACAACGGGAACATCGTGCATCAACTGGCTTCGCTGCGTAGGTACATAGTCTTCACCACTATTGGAGCTTCTGCGCCTGGAGCCTGACAGGCTATGTTTTTGCTGTTCATCTCCAGAAGCTTGCTAACATGCAGTCCCCACTAGCTCTGAACCCAAAGCCAAAACCTGATCCCCTTCAACCCTAATCCCTATAATCTTCCATCCTGCTCTGGGAAGATGCTGCCAGGCGGCATCGTAGAGGCCGCCCACTGAGAAGCGGTAGAACTCGCGGCCCAGCGCCTGCCGAAGGCAGTTGATAAGGAAGCCCAATACACCACGAAGTCCCGAGCCCTAGGCACTTAGCCCATATTGAACGTTTAACTCAAGGTCCTTAAGTCTTGATACGGGGGTCATCAGTAAAACGGAGCGAGAGATCCCTGCACTCCCGGGTTCCCGCTTGGACTTGTCCAAAACGGTATCGAAACGCATCTGTGTTCGAACCTTGAGAGTGAATGAGGCCTCGGGGCAGGCGAGATCAAAGGGCCCACCCTCGCAGCTTTGTTCAGCCTCTGAGGCTTTCTTGAACTCAACAAAGACCGGAGAATCGAGGCACTGGACTCTAAAGCCTGAAATCCTCAACTCCTCCCAAAGTGTAGGCCCAGCACCCCAGGCCCATTGGAAACATGAAAAGTTAAGGGCTACAGGGGCTTGTATGACATTAGAAAGGGCGTTTTGGGTAGTTCATATATGAACTGCAGCTGTACCAGGGGATAGTATTGTCAATGTTTCTGCCTGTTGGGCTTGCGGAACACTCGAGACCAAAATGCAGCCAAAGCCGATATTGGAAGAAACGACACTGAATGCAAGGCTCTCCTCGGCAATGGACTTTCCAATCGAAGTCTTGCCGACACCAGGGGGGCCCACAAAGCAAAGGATTTTGCCTCAACCATGAAGCGCAACCCGTTGCAGCCCTATAAACCTTTAAACCAGCACCAGTTGCTCAAACACTTGATGTTGAAAAAGCCGAGCAGACTGCCTGTTGCATGAGACGAGAACTTGAAGTCCAATGCACCGCGCCATGTGTCATATTAATCTGTATTTCAACCGTCCTAACACTATTCAGAACCAGACATACCGGCTGATGGCGCTACGTTTGATTTGTTTTGGTGGTTTAAAGATCAGTGGCCCTGCTTCCTGGCTGGGTTTAAAAGCACAGCACGCTGCTGCCGTCCTGCTGCCAGGCAACCTTGCATCGACCCACGCAGCACGCCGACGGCAATGAACTCTCGGATTCGATCCTCGCAGCAAGTAGCGTTTTGGCTCTCGAGGCCTTGAGCCCTGCAGACCTGCAATCTGTGCCTTTCAACTTCCGAGCTTGTTCCAGACTTGTAAGCATGACTGGGATGAACGCCAAGACGGGAAAAACGGCAAATTTCAATTTAGTTTCGGCTTTTCATCCCAGAGTACGCAAATCCCTTGCACAGAACCATTGGAAGCCTTGATGTCCGCCAGGCCATAGTGGTCTCGGTCCTCAACTCGGACTGGGAATGGTCTAGGGTGGCCTACAATGCCTACAACCTAAGCTCAAACCCTCCTTGAACGAAGTCAACTTCTGCCTACCAGCAAAGACTACCATTGTTGACAGTCATGCCGCTTTTGCCAACAGAAGAAGACAAGCATTGCGCACCCCCACCTGCCTGATGCAACCCTGCGATCAATCTGACACTCAACAGCACACAGGGGTCTGGCCAGCATCTTTCTCTTGAGTTCAGGACCCGAATGAAACCCACACCCCAAGCTAACGATTCCGGCCAAGAGTCCAAGATCTCCCTGGCCTTCTTCAGGTCAAAGGTGTCCTGCAAGCCCCCCCTCTGAGCCCTGCACTTCCTAGGCTTGCCGTGCTGTTGGAGTGGCGGGAAGTGATACATGTATGAGCCTCCGTGACCATATACAAGGAGCCTGACCGCACCCTGGAGAAGGTTGGCAGTGGGCGCCCAGAGACTTCCATTCTTGCCGGGGTCGCTGGTGTTGCGAAGATTTGTGAGGCTGTTGGCATATCATCGCAGAGCCGGATGTCTTGCACTTCTTCACAATGCTCGTCTTACCCCTGCACTCCTGGTTCAGAGCAAGACATCAAAGAGTGCAGCAACCAGCCTTGCTGTAGACACCCCAAGGCATGTTGCTCAGCCACTCCAGGTAGTTGCGAGTCATTTGGTACTCCTGCGATTCCTGCCCGACACATGCACGAACGCACGAAAGCACGAACGCAGGAAGGCACGAACGTGTAAAGTAAAGGCATACAAAAACTATCTAAAAGAAACCCTAAACCTAAACCCAAATTGTATGTGCGCATGGCCCACATGCCCGGGCCGAAAAGGGGACTTTATGTAGTAGGCTCAAGCATGGAAGTTGCTACGAGGTAGCTGCCAATGATTTAATGCGGTGTGCACAATCCCAAAAACAGCTGGTAATATCAAATCCTAAGTCAGCCCGTGTATCTACCAGAACCCTAAACCAGAGAGATGATCGCGTCTGCATAGCAACGCCAGTAGGGAACGAAGGTGAAAGGCAAGCAGATTGTAATGATTACACCCATTCCTTCACTCCCTGTGATCAATGCTTCAGTCGAAACTGTTGTGAACAGAGCCTTGGCCAAGTTGGCGAACTTCTCCAGCTCCTGGTCGATGGCCTGGGAGCTTCCAAGGTTTAGGTTTCAGGCTTGGGGGGGGGGGGGGGGGGGGAGTCGGAGCTGAGGCATGACTCTCTTGTTCTTCCTGTCTGGCAAATCAGGTACCGCTTGAGTGCTGCATACGATTGGCTTCCGGCTCTTGCCGAACGAATGGGCAACAAGTGGGTTTGGCCACCAAGCTGCGGTCGTGCCGCAGCCCCTTGTACTATGTTGTATTGTACTAGACTACATTGTTTCACACAATCCTATACTACTACGCAAATTTGTATATACATATATGTGTGTATATATATACACACGTATTTTGCTTGTTGGGTGGACTGGTTCTCTGCGATGTCCAATGCGCAGCCTATGTCGCTTCACAGGAGCTTTAGTTTAAGTCTCGCGGAAGATGGCTGCAGTTCAGCCAACTCCGACAAACACCTTCAGCTCTGCGAACTCCCATCGAAGGCACCACCTCAACGACTGTGTCCCTGAACCCCACAAGTACAGTCTAAACTCGCCCCGCGCGCAGGCAAGAAGCATCCTTCGCTTCCTTCGGCACCGCCTTTCCCTCGAGGCGCGCCTTGAACTTCTGCAGGAGGGCATCCTTGCTCTGCTTGCAGGAAATTGGAAGGAAGTAGAAAACAAAAATACAGGATGTTAGGGTATAGGGCATTCACCGGAATTCACGAATCGGGGCTCAGAAGGCTTGGTTGTATCCTTGGAGTGTTTTGGGACTTTCGGTTGGGCGCGGAGGGGGGACATGGAGGCCGCACATGTCAAGTGCAATGTCTCAAACATGTCTAAGCCAGGCAGGGAAGGCACCCCCAGAGACAAGAGTGGCCTAGAAGTGCCTTTTGTTGTGAAAGCCGCGTAGCTGATCCGTCATCCTTGTCAATGCCAAGCTCCTTCCTTGAGCAGCTGGTCGGGGCTAGGGGTCTGAAAGGGGGTAATTAGGGCTGTCTGATATTCATGAGTTTTTAGAGCTTCAGGTTTTGCTCTTTTGCTCTTCCTGCCGGGGCACTGAAACCGCAGGTCGTGCGTGATAAACTGAACTTAACGTACTGCCTTCAGGGAGAAGAGGCAGCGGTGTGCAGTTGCAGTTGCACACTCACTCCCAAAACTCAACCCATGACCTGTGCTGAAGCACTGAAGCACGAGCCCCGAAAGAGTTCACGCGTGAATGTCAAAGGAGTCCGAAGCCGTTTGCAGGAAAGCCTCTTGATGGACTTCAGCTGCTCTCGTAGCATAAACTCCCGCTGATGCTTGTTCATCTTCTCCTACAGAGCATGACTGCAAGTTGACTACAAGTGCTGAGCCTTCGCAAATCGGACCCCACCAAATCACTGACCAGCCATGGTCACCTCAATCTGGGATGCGATCTTCTGCTGAATCTTGGAGAGCCTTGGGGTCACACAGTCACACAGCAATCGCCCGTCAAGCACGGGTGCCGAGTGATGTGATCCATCGACTATTTGCATGTTTACACGCGCAACCGCGCGTCCAAAGGTACACCTCAATCGACCCCAACTCAGGAAATTGGGTGACAGGGTGCAGGGAGGCGTTGGGTGGACTCAGCATGCCTGCAATCCGAAACACGCTTACAAGCTAGCGCATTTAGATCTGGCGAGTGTCTCCAGCTCCTTCTTGACGAGCTCCAGGGCAAGCCTGTCCGCAGGCTTCTGGGGTTTAATCGTGAATGCTTTCAGAAGCCCGCATGGTTTTTTACAAGCGTCTGGCCATCATACGTCGGAATCTATACATCAATGTTCTTGACAGTAGCAGTACGAACAATACAAACGCCGCGAGCAGCCTGCTCTTGTCCTGAGGAGCCTCTGCTTCGAGGACCTGATTCGGCGAACTTTGGGCCGTAGGGGTTTTTGAATTTGGATTCAGGGACTTTAGGGGGTGCCAAGGGCCTGGGGCCCAATGGGGACGGGAGTAGGGTAGAGATTCTTTATGTAGTGCATTTGGAAAGCGCAGGATGGAAGGCTCGGAAGTCTCTCTACGGCGCACAAATCAGATGAGCTTTCGTGTTTCTTACTTCCACTCCACCCCCACCCATTCCGAATTCCCCACCCCACCCCCTTCTCTTGGAGCGCCTTTTGGAGCTCCATCCCGTCCGCCGAGGTGAGCGCGGCCGCGAAGTGCCTACAGGGGGGACGGCGGGAAAGGAAGGGAGTGGGGGCAGAGCGGGGAAAAAGGTGTTCATTTACTTGAAGCTGTACCTGCTGCTGTACTAAGACAACCATGCCATATGTGGTTCGTACACCATCCGTGTCTCCTGCAGAAGGATGCTGTACAGGCCAAGAGGCGCAACCACATGTGACTTCATCTTCTCCACTCGCTCGTAGTAGTTCTGGTGAATCAGCGCGGCGTACTCGCCTCCATAGCGATGGGATCCGATGGGGTATGACGGGATTCAGTCGCTTTTGTTTTGCTTTCGACGGCTTTCGAGATGACACATATACCTCTTATGAGGATTTTTGGCAGTATCTCGCGGCTGTACAGCCGTCGCCGAGCCCCTGGCGGAAACCTGGGTTCACCTTCATGATCTCCTCCGGCAGGTTCGTTGGCTGATTTCTAGTGGGGATGTTCATGAGGATAGAATCGTTCCTAGCACTTTGTCTTCCTGGTGATGAAGACAGCAGAATTGGGCTTCTAGGGATAGGGCAAGGCAGTGACTGTAAGACAGGAGCCCCAAATCGAAAACGTCATCCCCATACAACCCCTTCATACATGATACGAAAGGCTACTCCAACGCCAAATAGCTAGCCACTATGATAGAGGTGAATCTTGGACCTTTAGGATTTAGGGCTTAGGGTGAATTTCCTCCTAAACGTTGAGAACTAGGCTGGCCGTTTACTCTTGAATATGAACCTCCAAGTACGGGAAGACACAATGGCCTACCTGGAACTACCTGGCTGTCTCCCTTGCTCTCCTTGTCTTTCTCTGGACCCTGTCTACATGCCCATGATGGGTCTACGCATTCAGATCAACATCTCGTTCTGCTGAGCTGTGGGCCTTGATTGTCTGCATTGTCTCATTCATGGTGGCCTTCAGCATGTCGTCCTCTGCAGGCAACGCATTGGCTTCCAAAATGTAAACATGGGAGTGAATTAGAGCCCATCCCTTCCCCCCAGGCCCTTCGTAAAATCAGATATACCATCTCTCGCAATCGAAGCATAGAAGTGATTCCTGAGGTACTGCTTCTGCTGACTCACTCAGAGCCACTGTAAAAAGCCACACCAAAAGCAGAAAGACGGCTTTTAAGCAAGATTTTGGGCTCTTTGATGCAAATCGCTCAGCCCTCTTCGCCTGGGCACATAGATCAGCCAAGTGTGAAGCAACAGAAATACTGCACGGTGAACTACTTCTACTTCTTCGTCCGCAGCAGGGCACCAGCGTTGCAAGCTCTAAAGTAAAGGACTCGACGTGTCCATCGAATCTTCGCTCTCGTACTTCACTTGCGAGATTCTGACCTGAAAGGCAAGGCAGGACACATTTCGGATCATGTAAAAGCCACAGCTCGGCTCAGCTTCATGTGGCTTTCTGACAATGGTAGACAACCCAGGTGAGCACGCCTTGGGTTACAGTTAGCAAATGCTCTCGTCGTTCCCGTCCTCCCCTGTTTCTGCAATCAAGACGCCTGAAGGGGTGGTCCATTCTGCAGGACCTCCTCCATACGGACAATGTCTACGCCTTGGCAGGACGGCTTATCATAGTTCTCCAGGCGTAAAGAGTTCAGGATACGCAAGTGCTTTTAGCTTCAGGCTTAGTGTGCAGAGGTTTTAGGTAAATTCCAAAGCAGTCCATGCCTCATGTCTGCCGGCAAGCGGCGGTATGGCGCTGAGAGCTCCCAAAGCCCTTCCTGCCTCTCAACGTCTTCCGAAAGCCCGACATAGCGAGGGGGCAGCGTCCAAAACTTGGGAACTGAGGCCACCGCCATTGACCAGCATCTGTAGGCCCACCTGGCATAGGCTTTGCCAAGTAACCGTCTGTTATGCGCTCAGGAGGGGTTAAGAGTGGTTTATTTAGGCGGTTTGGGGGGGGAGGGGGGGGTTGGGGGGGCTCTAAGGAGTCTTGAGCCCTGGCAACAAGCAACAAAAAACAATACCTAGCAATCGCTAACCCCTGAAGCATTAGCAAAAGCACCTGCTGGCCCGATTGGGAGACGACAGGCATGGCCTGGGTAGGCGAAAGGGAGCGATTTGGAGTTGCGAAGCTTTGGGTGTCATTACACGAGTTTAGTGCATGTCTCTGTTGTGAGAGATGTTCGGGTATTGCGGGTTGGGCCATGGTGCTTGTTAAGGCCAAGACAGGATGTTCTGTGCGCAAAAGAGCGCGGACGTCCACACAAGAGGCCTGTGCATGTACGAAAAACACTCACTCCTCAACCCCCGACCCTGAACCCCATATGTGCACCTGAAACATTGCGCCCTGAACCCTAGAAAAAGTCCCAGGCCCCTGCGATGGGAAAATAGCAAAATTTGAAGGCCTAGCCTTTGCAAAGGCGAAGTGGGCTGTGTTGAGGGTTTAGAGTCCGGAGTTGAAGCAAAAATGTCGGGGCCCTGGCCTGCACGACCCGAGCCCGAGTACCCACCCTGCAAAGGACTTCCATGGGATCCTGGTTGCCCAGCTCCTGTCAAGCTGAATTAGGTCCTTGGGCGTTTCTATCTTGGGCCTTGGCGCACGTTGCTACAGGGATCTGGGGCTGAATGAAGGGATGGTGTTTTCGGTCTGAGAGCAATTTAGAGCCCAGGCCTTCGGCTGGTTCTAAAGCGGGCGATGGTTGACTTCCCTTACTGGTAGCTGCCCATCATTTCTCGGTGATGGAGGCTCAACTAAGTAAGTCCTTCGAGACAAAAGCGCGAAGGAAAGAACCGAACGAAACTCTTTATCAGACCAACCGCTCGAAACCCCAAACCGTTTCTAAACCCTGAAGAGCCTAAACCCTAACCCCTGAAACCTCTAAACCCGAACAACCTCATTAAACCTTTGAACATCAAAAAGCTCAAAACCCTAATTACAAATATGCCTCTGCCGCTACTGCCTCTACCCTAAACCTGGAAAAAATCTCAAAACCCAAACCCTACGCACCCCACAAATCCCTAGAAACCCTAGAAGCCCTGAACCCTCTTGAGCCACCTCCAGGGCCACGGTGGACTGGACCTGCGCCGTTCCCTCTGCCGCATCGGCCGCCTCGGCCGCCTGGCAGAAGCTGACTCGAAGGTCCACGGGGGCATTATAGGGCATTATACGGCATTATAGGGCATTGTAGGGCATTATAGGGCATTATCGGGCATTATAGGGCATAGGCTCATAGGGCTTACCAGGGTTTCTGGGGCTTGGAGGTTTATAGGGCTTGCAGGACTTAAAGGGTTATTGGTTGGGCTTGCAGGTTAGGCTCTTGGCCTTTGGGGATTTGGGATCAAGAATCTGACCATAAGACAGAGTGAAGCAAGCAGAAGCAAGAACGAAACAAATCCTCAGAAACTTCCCTCGGCTGGCCTCCTCGGCAGCCCCTCCCTTCTCTGGCAGCTCGAAGGCAGGCGGTGTCTGCGTCAAGTGCAGCATTCATGGGGTCAGGGTATGCGCAGGGATCAGGAATCACCCGGAGATCAGCTTGGTTCACACAGTAGGCAGGCAGAGGGAGGAGAAAGGGAGAGGGCGAGGGATAAGGCAAGGGAGAGGAAGAGACGTAAGCAAGAGCGAGAAAGAGAGGGAGGCTAGATCGGATGCAAACTCCGGTCCAGCCGGTCCAGCCTGCTTGTGTAGGAAGAGGCTGACGTAGTTCCTGGCGCAATCATGCAATTAGAGGAAAGGAGCATCTTCTGCTGCAAAAAGCAGCAACATGAAGACATGCGCAGGAAGGACATGGCCGACATAGAATCTCTACAACTGGGAATGCCTCGAAAACTCCCCGGCCTTTTTCCCAGCTCTGGCAAGTAATCAATTAAAACTTCGGACGGCGACTGACGAAAAAAGGACAAGCTATTTCAATAATATTGAAAAAGGTGAGGTTTCCAAACATGGGGAGCGGATCCGCTACATTTGGGACGCCCTTTCGTATAGTGCTGCGCAAAATTGAGAGGCCCC